CTCTGCCTACTTTTAATTGCCCTGCCATAGTCCCAGTTGTGGCTTAATGTCATTAACACTTCAGGGTGTGGCAGTAACAATGTTTTAGTCATCCATAGCTGAGCTGCCACACTTTATTTAAACTCTTGACTCTTGAGTGTCAGGTGGTCTCCTCTGAGGCTGCAGAGAATGACCTCCGACCTGCTGACCTGTACTTCAGCACAAATGGATTAACAGTGACAGTGGTGACAGTCAAAACACACAGAGGTAAATCCCATTTGCCCATCATGCTCCTGTTCTAACTGCCCCCGATGATTACTTTGACAAAAAGCAAGACGAGACGCTACACACACACTCACAGACACGTCACACCCACTTACTACGCCCTTCCCTCAATGTCAGTCACCAGCATATAGGGGCCCCTCTTTTGCCCCTCACGAGTAACATGATCCATGGACGACCTGAGGTTAGAGTTGGAATCCTAACCCACAGTAGTTGAAGACAAAAGAGTGACTGGTCACAGTTAAATGCTAACATGCAAACCATAAGGTGGTAGGATTATGGATAACATTCCTTCAAGCCTGGTCAAATAACCTAAAAGGCAGCTCTTTATCATGAGGTTGCATCAAATGTTAGGTAAAAGCCCCTTCAGAACAAGAAATAGCTTGTATCACCACTGTGCAAAACACTGCTACATCTCTATGGAGGCTTTGTTTCTGCACTACACATTGACTTTCATTTAAATGCTCATTCAAAACATCTCTACCAACTGTTCTGTATTATGACACATTCAAATCCTAGAGTGATACGGAGAGGGTCGTTCAAAGGGCATTTTTTATGTTTGTATGGAAAGAGTTAGCATACATGCCTGTGTTGTAATGAATCTGAAGTCAGTGCTTCTGTAAAACCAGAGCTGGCCTTGGGGCTATGTGGGAGCTATGCATCGCAAAGTAACACACTGCATTCCAGTCTACTCTATCACACCTTGTCTTCAGCTGTTGGCCTTCACTGAATGATTGAGTGAATGACTTTTATGAAACAAAGCTTTAAGAAGGAACTCCCAGCCCCACCTAGACCTGCATCAAGCCCTCAACAAGTACAGATAATAGAAGTAGTCAGGTCGTGCCAAGCAATAACAGAGGGGATTAGTTAAATGTCTGGTAGCTGTCACGTAGCAGCGCGTACCCACTAAACTAGACTATCAGTCTATGTGTATGTGTATGTGTATGTGTATGTGTGTATGTGTGTGTGTGTGTGTGTGTGTGTGTGTGTGTGTGTGTTCAATTCATTGCTCATCATACATCACATTCGCTTGTGTCTGGAAACTGCCTGCCTTGCTTATCATTTCCCTGCAACCAGTTTTTGTATCTGTGTGTTTGTGCGTGAGGGACTGAGTCACAGTCAGACCAAAGGCAGGGTGAATAGATAGGAAGGATGGCAGTAAAATGGGAACAAAAACTGATGACTCAGAACTCAAATCCTCCTCTGTCACCAACGTTCAGCGGAATTAGGGTTTGTCATGTGATTTTGTACATAGCCAAATTATATTACCAAAGAAGCCAAGCTGGAAATAAATGGGACACAAAATCCCCTAACAAATGTGTTTGTTAATACAACCACATAACAACCCATTAAATAGGAATTAGTGATATAAAAGTAGAAGATAAGCACTCACTCAAAGGCTCTATTGGAGGTCTGTATCAGAGCAGACAAAATGACAGGCATATCCCTCAATCTTTGCGTAGCTGGCAGAGAGAGAGATAGTGTAAGTTAATGTATAACCACTGAGTGTGGGACTACAGGAGGTAGCTTTACAAGGGCAGCAAAATAAATCAGAAAACAACAAAAGTCAGAACAGGCTGCACCAAAGAGAATTGATTTCCCATTTGTCTTTGAGTTGACCAACTTTGTTTACACGCGTATAACAGAAAGAAGAAATGGGGGGTTAGGGTTCGTTTAAGGGTTTTAAGGCCTCCTGTGATCTCTGTATCCTTTGAAGACCTGAACACAGATGGTGAGTCCGTTGAGAGGAAATCCATCATTTCTGACAGGACTCAACACCCCGATTACCATAAGTGTGAAACTGTGAATCCAAGCAAACTTAGGCCATGTGTCACCAGTCTCTCCTCCCTGGTTCTCTCAATGGACAAAATGTGACAGTCACCTTGGACCTGACCAGCATCTCTCTCCACAGCAAGGACTATGTTATTATGATAGAGCAGCAAAAGTCCATAGGAAAAACACAACACCAGAAAGACATCAATTAAAAATAAGACATATCAAATTAAATTAATTCAAAATCATGGTATAAAAGGGGTTATTTTGCCATATATTTACTTTTAGAATATGCACATTACATGTATGTGGGTCACTTTTAGACTTTTATGTGACCAAAAATCAGAGTTGTAGCACTAATAGTTCACACTATCAACAGGTCATCAGCACTGCAAACTTACGGATTGTGACTTTCTTGGGATCAAACTGGCGGATTTCTCCCTGCAGCCTTTGCAGTCTCCCCTGAATCCTGCAGGATCTTCTGAACACCATGCCTGCCTCCATCTCGATGGCCAGGAAGATGTCGCTGGCATGTCGAGAAAGATCGGAAAGTTGGTGAATAATGTTTACAAGTGTATGACAGCCAACCTCATCCAATGAAGAGAACAATACGGGTTTTCGCAGTTTTCCTTTCCCGTTTTCTTCCCTCGGTATCCAGCCATCACACGGCGATAACCTGCTAACACGCCGCGGCTCAATGCTCCTCTGAGGAAAGGGCATATTTATTTCATACCAATAACTCCAGCGGGACCAAACACTGTTCGCGCAAAAACCTTACAGCTTTTAAAACAAATCCAAGAGTCATCGCCGTCCTGCTATTATTTGCGAAGCAGTAAAATCCTTCAATCCCGCCATATTTTTGTTTTTCAAAGCATGGGACTTTGTGCTGCTGTACACTGCAGACGTTGCCTCCCAAAGTCTATTCAAATTCAACCCGACTGAGTGCAGGCTGGAGAGAAAAGAGAAAAAACACAAGGAAAAGTAGGGGGGGAATAAAAACCCGGAGAATACTATAACCACCTGTAGCAACTGGAACTGGAGCCAGATATTCAAACAGAGGCTTTACCTGAAAGTCAGTTACACGGTCTGATGGAAAACATGGACCGGAGCTCCTCCAAACTGAACCGGACGGGCTGGGGTCACCAACAGACTGAAAAGATAGATATCACGGCTTGAGGTTTAAAGTTAGTATATTTATCATGGTCTATAAACCACTATGTCTAAGAATAGTAACTCACATTCACTTTGACTCCTTATTTCACAGCAATCCCTTCAATTATGAATAATCTAATAACTTTAGACTAATACCTAACCTTTAATTCCCTAATATTTTTTTTTTTTAATGTAAATACCCAGAAAAATGTTATGCAAATTTAGGTGAAGAGTTTTGGGACAATTAATGTACCTTTTATTCAAATGTAATAGTTCTACTCCAAGTAGCATAACAACTTCACTGTAAATGCAGATCTAGCCTAACTCCTAAAACTCGGAACACAAATGGAGATAACATTTACTTTTTTTAAATGTAGCCTATCTTTCTTTTGAAAATGTGAATAAATAAACCTAATTAAATGGACATTATATAAGGACATGATGTACCTGTTCGTTTAGGATGTGTTGTGGCATGTTGCTAATTTCCATAGTTAGCTAACCATAAGCATTGCTAATTTACCGTTTCGGGTTATTTATGCTTTTAGCGTGTATTTATATGTAGGCTAGCAAATAACAATAAATCCTGACGGCGTGGGCATTATTGTTATCTGTTGACAGCGGGTGAAACTCTATTTTCTGATATGTAATGAAGGGCCCACCAAACACCTAGGTCCTCAGTGGACAAATTAAGCTTACTTTAGTTAAAACTTTAACATTAAGTAGCATTAGCCTACAATACGCAACAAAGAAAATGTATGTAACAAAACAAATGTTGGATGTTTGCTCATACCTCTTAAAGAACCCTTTGACAACACATTATGTGAACTCTTGTCTGATTTATCTCCTCTCAGTGTTGGCTACTACCCAAGGCATGTTTGTCCTGTCCACGGCCTGGCATTCCCGCGCCGCTCTTTAAATTCCAAAGAACAAACTAGCATACCTTTTACACCCTTTAGCTTTCAACCTGTGGCCTTGCATTCTTATAAAACGATGTCCAGTTGCTCAAATGTGTCTCTGTAGTGTTAATTATGCCACCTGGTGTCTTAAAGTACACACAGCACCTCCATAAGAGTTTCTATATGTAACAATTAATGTAGTGTTTAGTTTACACTGTCAATCTTTTCAATACTTAGTGGAAATGTAACAATTCCTCTCATATTGGTATGCATACCGTAGCTTAATAATATATAAGATTGTTACAATTCTGCTACAATTATCCTCTGAGCATAGTAACTTCCCATGTGCATCATGGAAACATATGTATATTTTCCTGTTATCCTGTTTCACAATGAGTAATATCCGCATTTGTCCTTTCCTGCACCAAGAGTCTCTAAAGCGATTGGTTACACTGGTATTATTCCACCGGCTTAACTCTACATTTTAGTTTTTTAGATGGTCACTTTTGAGTTAATTTCCACCATGGAATCGTTAGCAATTGAAATGTACAGAGTCCTTCTAGGGTCACATGGTGGTAAAAAAAAGTCCTATCTGTGAATCAGTGCCAATGGGTACACAGTTCGTGTTTCTAAATGTAATAGTACCTTACTCATTTTGGAATTGTATCTATTCTGGTTTTACTTTAAAGCCTAATATTACTAAATACAACATTACATCTGTTGTAGCCTACTTATTAGTAGAGTATGTCAATACCATTCTTAATGTCCTTGCATTTTGAATATTTTCTTATTAAATACACATTTGGTTTTCCTGATACAATGTATGTTTTTTAAGCAGTTTATAAATTAAAGGTTTGAATTCATTAAAGCTTCATCAGACAAAATAAAAAATTGTGAAATTACAAAAGCAAACAACCATTTTAGAGATGAACATAGGTTTAATCAAGTCAAAACAATACAAAAAGATGAGCTTTTCTGTCTGTAATGTCAATAGTCTTACCGTTTTAAACTTTCTACGAGTTTTGGACTTTCATTCGGGTTAAAATGTATACATATATCTCATTCACCATATTTTACAGAGCACTGATTCTCAAAACCATAGCCTTCTTCCACATCTAAAAACCCATACATAAACTCATTTATAGAATTATTTACATACAAGGCTTGAACAAGTCAACTCAAACCATTTGGTGAGCAATAAGAAAAACAAACATCACACATCAGAACATTTGGGAACTTTCTTGAACTGTATGGCTTGTTTAAGCCATTTTGTTTTTACAAATCACTGAATGGATGGGAGGCAGGAGTGGCCTTTAATTAAATAATATCAACTTACACTCAGCAAGGTCATTGGAAGATTATTCAATTTGCAAGTTTCTCCATCACTGTGTCTTCAAAGATTGGTTGCATACACACACAATGTACAAATACAGCTCGATGAGTGATAAAGTAAAACACACTGCTCGAAATGCACCAAGGTGGTAGGTACATAAAGCATGTACATGTAAATGTGAAACTGAACAACAGAAAAAAAAAAAACTCAAGAATGGCAACAAATTAACTAAGAAACAAAAGTTGATTACACTAAGTTGTCCCAACTGAGTTAAGTAAGCAACCACGTCACCAACAAATACATCATCTTAGTTTATTCACAACACCTTAATCGAGATGACAATTTGAGTTCATTCATACCAGAAAGGAAAAAGAAACAGACCAACACTGCATTTTGTGTATGGAATTAGATGTTTTTTGAGCGCCGCAGAGATGTAACAATGTATCATGACCTCCAAAAGATGGATTTTCTTTATTTTAAGTAGTATTTGTTTGTCAGAGCTGAGTGCAGCATCTCATAACTCAAACACAAAAACCTCCGGGGTTAATAAAGATCTAACATTTGTAGTAATACTAGCTCCTTTTCTTGATTCAATCATGTAGAATAATTAGCAAAGGAAACTGGGTGATTTTATGTAATCAGTAATGTAGAAACGAGAGAACAAATGATGTATTTGATCATGTTTTTTAACGTCTTATTCTGAATAACACACTGAGATGCTTGAGTTTATAAAGCCCTAGGGCCTACTTTTCCATGTGCATTTCATTCTACTGTATATTTACTCCTTAACACTCATGACAGTAACCATGGAATGACTTCTTGCCTGTCCTTCATGCATTTTGCCAGCAGACCCCATTTCAAAATATCTACTCCTGGTGCTCTCTGTCAATCATATTATATGAAGAAATAAAGGGGAAAGACAGACTGTTTTTGTCCAGAGATAAGCCAAAAAGAGCACTACTTCCACTGAACATTTTCTCAAAACTTCACATATGCATGGTGAATAGGGGAGAGAATAACAGACTACTGTTTTACAACAAAAAGATGGTTTGTGTACAACGGTGTTTTTAATGTGTGAGAGAGACTTGGCAAAGGCTCTCTTGGACCAGAGGCATAGTGTTATGAAGTACATTTGCAATATAATTCGATTTTCAATATTGTCTTGTGTTCGTGTGGGATAAACAACAAACCACTATTACGACCAAACAGGAAACGTTGGCTCGCAGAGTGCTTGGTTGCCTGGTTTCCGTTGACGGCTATGAAAGCGTCTCACTCAGGGCAGAAGCAGCCACAAGGCCACTTTGGACAGTGTAGGGCTGGGTGCTGACAGAAGAGGAGCCCAGGGGGAAAGGTGGTCGAATACAATATGAGAGCGAAGTCCTACAGCTCGGTCTATGTGAGAGCAGTGAGGACCGGTGATGGATTTACAATAGGAATACACACTCCTCTTCCAAGGGCTCGATGACAGGCTCTAGCATGGGTGTATCATGAGACACGCATACACACAAAGTACACACATATTAGTCAATTATCAAATCTAGGGCTCCAGATGTGTCACTTTGTCACCCTCTGGTGGTTTTGTCCAGAACAGATCTGGTATCTCCTTCACACACACACACACACACACAAGCATACAGGCTGCCATCATACAAATCTTCACCTACACACACATCTCACACACACATATATATGAACACACTCCTTGGCTCCCCTGTGTCTGTTTTCAGGCTTATCTGGTGTAGTAGACTCTGTAGTAAACACTCTTGGCGCGCCAGAGAGAATAGGAGTTGTCAAACTTAAGCAGGTAGACTCCGCGGCCGGGGTACTGGTGGCTGCCAGCATACACTTCCTCATGACAGTCCCGCCGGTACACCGGCACAATCTCATCCACCTGGGGCTTCCCCGCCTCCTTCTTCGCTTTCTCTTCCTCACTGGGGGGATCAGCTGAGGACACAAGAACAATGTGTTTTGCTCAGACAGAAAGCAGGAAGGAATCACCAATGAGTCTCATCATTAGGAATAGCACACACACAAAAGGCTTTGCTATCATTATACAACGCTATCGTTATACAACGCTAGGCCTGCCCAATTAAATCGTATTTTAAATCGCAATTACGATTATGGCTTGCAACGATTACGAAAACAACGTAATCGAAATAAAACGATTATTTATTTATTTTTAAAATGACATTTTTTTTTATTATTGGTTTTTCAGTTGAATTATACTTAAAGTTCAGGGTAATCAACTGTTAAAAACATACTGTTCACATTTTTTTTTCTCCAATAAATTGATGTTTTCAAAGTAAATGGATAATCGTTTTTAATAATCGTGATATCAATTATTGACCCAAATAATCGAGATTATGATTTGTGCCATAATCAAGCAGCCATATACAACGCTATCATTAACCTTAATATTATGGAGTTAGTTTTTTACCACAATCCTGATCACACAATGGACATTACATTATTTAATTTGAGCAAACCAAAATCCATTCGAAGTTCTGTGCAGTGTTCGCAAAAGAAATCCCATTGCACATGAGGATTAAGGCATTAACATAATAACATATAATACTGGCATAACGTTGCACCATTGTTAACCCGGGGTTAACACAAGGTTCATGACAAATTGTGACAAAATATCATGCACAAAATTAAGTGTTGTTACACTAAATCAGGGGTAGACATTAAGGGTAAAATGCCACTGGCCCTCCGGCCCGGTGGAATTGTATTCCCACTGGCCCCACCATTGAAACCACTGGCCCGGAGCATTCGTCCAAAAAAAATCGACTTATAATGAAGAAAATGAACACATTTGTTGCAATAGTAATTTATGCTAACTACATTACTACTTGTACTACAACATTTGAATCATCAGTTCTTCCTCATTTCCTCAATTGTTCATATTCGGTTTATTAAAATAATGATACTGTGGTCATTGTTAAAAAATGTCAGCTATTATTATGAGTATTATTATTTGTATAATGCACTTTCTGCCTTCCTGTCATTAGGAGTTAGAAATGTAATGGCTATGTATTAGATTAGATTAGAACCTTGATTATCCTAAACTGCTGGGACATTTCCCTAAAGCCAATACCTTTATATTTTCTACTCTTCACTTACTTGTCAGCATAGGTCGGCATTGATGTACAGAGCCGACAGAAGACCTTGTTTATATTGGCATCATATTGAGAGGTGCAGTGACGCGTCCTAAAACCAGGAAGTAAGCTGCTGGTTCCCTCGACAGAAAGCAATGGGATTTCTCCAAAGGGTTTTGGAAAATAGCTGGAAATAAGGTCTGTGGAAAACAAACCTGTTTGATAAATGCACGTTTTGTTCAGCCGGATAATCTCCACATGTCTACCCTACTTTTATCATTTTTCAAATCATAAATCTAATGGATAGATTATAAAAGGGTTTTAGGACGCGTCACTGCACCACTAGAAGCCAACTCCTTCGATCAAGCTGGCTGAAACTTTCTCTCCCTCTTCTTCTCATGCTCCCTGTCACTCTCCTTTAACTCCTCCGGTGACTTTCTTTTATTTGAAGATTGTTTTTTGCCCGGCGCTTGGCCGGTTACCGCTGGTATTAAAAACATTAATGGCGAATGGTTAGGTGGCGCGATAGTCTGTAGTGAAGGAGCGCACTCCCGCTCACGGGAGCCTGCTCGCGCTCCGCTCCGCAGCAAACAGCTGTAATAATAATAATAATAATGGCTTTAATTTATAAAGCACTTCATATTTGCATTCAAATCCCGAAGTGCTAACATCGTAAAAAGAATAAAAAGCAATAAATAAAAATAAATAAGTAAAAAGAATAAAATAAGATAAAAGGGTGATAATAAGTAAATAAAAGGAGTAATCATCATTGTTTTAAATGACATTCAAAATCTCAGACTCAATCATAATGGGTGGGTCGGCGATGGTTCGTGCCTGCGTGCAGATGTCAGTCTGCTGAATGACCATCGACAAAAGCTGTTTGCTTTTCACCCTAAAACGACAACCGACTCACAAAACGCTATGTTGTAGCGTTAATAAACGAAACAATTTAACTAAATTGCCAATCAAAATACCAATACCACAGGACAATTCTTTTTTTTAAAGCAATATTTTTTGTGGCCCGAGCGGGCAAGTGGAAAGTACGTTATGCTGGCCCGGGGTGTCTAAATAGTGCTTCTGGGCCAGCGGGCCAATTATAATGTCGAGCCCTGCACTAAACACAAAAATGCTACTGCTACTCCAGCTGACAATTAGAAGCAACGTTTAGAAGGACAGGTGTAATTGCTGTTAACAAAACCAAGCCAATTCCACTGCATAAAACTGTCTTTTATCTTCACATATTGCCTCCCTTCCTTTCTTTTCACACCACTGCTCTGGTTTCCACCGTAAGAACACAAGCAGGAATTCCTCCGTTACAACTGTGATGTTTATCTATGGCGTAGTAAAGTTCTGAACTTGAGATAAGAATATAATATCTGAAAAGAAGTTAAACAACTCTTCATTGGCCAATGAGTAAAGTAGGTAAATCAATAAAACATACATTCTTATTCAAAGCAGCCACTTAAAGATGAAGCTCAATAACCACCATTACTTATTATGTAATTAATTGTATGTAGTATATAGTCACCATAGCAAATGGCTCTGAACCTTAGATCAAAAGAGAAACAATGAAATAATGGTGTATTTTTCTTGTATATGCATTAGTGTAACTAAGGGAATGGCTAGTAAAAGTTTTATATTTTTTCCTTTTGTTTATTTAAACAACCACCACTAAAGGTCATGTCACGCCTGCCAATTTGGTTTTTATTTAGTTTTGTTTATAAATCAGAAACACTGCAGGTATATTCAAACATATCTCACCTTCTTCATCGTCGTCCTCATCACTGGATTCTGACACGTGCACGCTGACAGAGGCAGTAGAAGCGTCCGTCCACTCGAAGAAGACCCCAAAGCCGATGTCGTAATAGTCCGTGGCAAACTCCCAGAACAGGTAGGCGCCCTCCTCGTGGGTGGGCACCCTCACTGTCACCACCTCACCGCGGCCCACCGTGATCACACTGTCTGCGTCCTGCCGGATCTTCTCCTTGAAGTCCTTGATCTGTGGCCGTGTCCACATGGAGGGGGCGGCGATGACTGGTGGGGAGTCAGCTGTGAGCAATGAACACAAAATTACATGTTAGAATCTGTTGCGAAATCTGCTTATACAGCTGTCCTTTTTAGATGGTTTTTTTCCAGCAAACAGACTAAATGCCAATCTAGCTCAACTAACAAGCCATATGTTTACACGAGTGAGTGTGTGTGTGTGTGTGTGTGTGGCCTAGCATTACTATACTTGTGGGGACCTAAATCTGTTTACAGTCACGTGTGGGGACTGGCCTCCCTTATGGGGACAAAATGGAGGTCCCCATGAGGGGAATCATTCATTTTAGGGTGAAGACTTGGTTAGGGTAAGGGTAATGGTTAGGGTTAGGCATGTGTTGGTTATGGTTAAGGTTAGGATAAGTCTCCAGGAAATGCATGTAAGTCAATGTAATGTCCCCTGAAGTGATGTATACATGGTGTGTGTGTGTGTGTGTGTGTGTGTGTGTGTGTCAGCTCACAGCTGTAGAGGGCAACATGCCAGCCCCAAAGTCAGCCTCTATTGTCCGAGTAACGGTCGGCAGGATCAATATCAATATAGAACAATATCTTATTAGGACTTCTGTGTGTGTGTGTGTGTGTGTGTGTGTGTGTGTGTGTGTGTGTGTGTGTGTGTGTGTGTGTGTGTGTGTGTGTGTGTCAAAGAGAGCATGTGTGCCAAATGTCAAAAGTTTATTTCTGCAGTGCTGGCTGACCATCCATCTTTCCTCAAAACATTGTTTTGAGAGTGGTGAGCCACGCATAGGGAATTCATTTGGCTCAGGATGTATGTTTTGGAATCAGACCAAGGCCTTGTTCATTGCTGGTGCGAGTGCCTACTCTTGTGAAAGCACAATGTGTGGCTGGATGATAGCAGCCTATCATGTATCACTTGTTGGAGCTCCTCTCCTTCCTGCCCTTCAGGTCACATCAACAAGGACACAGCAGATAAGAATCAGGTTTCAAGTTCTGGTATAAAGCTTTGTTAGTTTGAGCTTAGATTCCTTCCAGTTGTTTCTGTGTTTTAATAAATGAGAAAAACGACAGCCCACCAACCTAATAAAGGGCCGTTCTCTGAGACCTCCTCTGCCGGCTCGGGCTCAGGCTCCCGGTCCATGCTCTCAGAGTACGAGTCTGACTGGCCTCCATTGATGGTAGGGGCTTCTTCCCCGGCAGGAGGTGAAGCTGCACACATCGGTCCTGCTGCTGAGGCGACGAGGGGTTCACCACTACTGAAGCCGCTGGATTCAAGGGAGCCCTGCACCATCGAATCCGCCTGCATCTGCTGCTTCTGTAAGGCCGCCTGGGACCAAAGGAGGACAACACTGAGTTAGGACATACTAGGGACTTAAACCAAGATTGTTATGTTACTACAACGCTTTTGGAATGATGAGTCGTGATTTGATATGGGCTACATTTAGGGCTGCACTTTGATATCTTGAATTTTCCTCCTGACGAGTTCACTTGAGATTAAGCATATCAGAAGATACCTCGATTATTTAAGAAGCTTAACTTTTAAACAAATGTTGTTTTCATCTTTTGTAAACCCTTTGAAAGTATCTGAAATTGCAATTTGGTGCAAGACCTTTGTTGCAAATGCTTTATTGTGTGTACCTAACAATCAAGTGTGTAAATAGATTATGTTCTTTCATAGAAATGAATGCTTTATCTTGCAAATATCTAAATTCCAAATTAAATGGTAAATCTAAAAAACAACAAATCAATCACTGGAAGTCTATCCATGCTAGTGATGACACAACAGCTACCTGTTGCTGGGCAAGCTGCACCTGGTAGAGCTGCTGCATGTACTGCTGGTAGTGTTGCTCCTGCAGCTGACGGATGAGGCCCAGCTGTTGCTCCGGGCTGTTGGGGTATTGCTGAGCAGCGTACTGTTGGAACTGCACTGCCGTCTGCGCATTCAAAGCCGCCATTATCTGTTGTCTGAAAACCAGGAAACAGGGCCAGAGTTGGTGAGGAAGAAAATACAGGAAATGGAGAGGAGGGAATGTTGGACAACTGTAGGATTGTATCTTAGAGAGAAGAGTGATAGAGGAGGCATTGTCTCTTTTTTTTAGCAGGTATCAGCCGAGCAAGGACCTTGCAAATAGCAATGTCAGAGAATTTTAATAATCATGCAAAATGTAGCATTTGCAAAAGACAGCGGTGCAGATAAACATACTTCTGCTGCTCAATCCGTAGCCGTTCGTCCTCTGCATGTCTCCTTTCCTCTTCCTCTCTCCTCAGCCTTTCCTCCTCCTCAAGCCTCCTTCTCTCCTCCTCCTGTCTTTGTCGCTCCCTCTCCTCCTCCTCCAGACGCTGACGCTCCTCCTCTTCTTTCCTGGGGTAGAGCAATGACATGAAGGATATTGTAAATTATGCAAATGGTAAAATTCCTTACAACATTTCATAGACTGTAGTCAATAAATCTTAGTCAATACAAATGTCAGTAAACTAAAAAATCACTACTACTTTCACAGGTTCTCTGGATGCATATAGGCCGAACTAATTCTGTATCTAGACACTGAAGCAGAGAGATCCTCCTCTGGAACTGGAGTCGGGTACCTTACCTTTTTCTTTCCTGCTCCTCCTTTTCGATCTTGTGTGAAGTGACGTATGGAGCAAAGAGGTTACAGCACTTGTTCAGCATCTTGACAAACTCCACCATGGCCTCCTCCTTCTCCATGTTACCTAGGGAAGCCCACTCTTTCCTGCAAGCAGAGCAAGATTGAAGGTGAGGATAAATAACATAGGCAACTGGGCAAAATGGGCTCAGTCATTACGTTCTTGTTTTGTTTACTCCTTTCTAGACACGTTCATATTTAATAATAGCAAAAAAGAGGAATTAAAATGTGTAGCATTTGTAAACACCATTGTTAATTAATAACATAAAGAAACTCTAAGTGAACTCAATCTTAAAATCTGTGTGTCATTACATTTGTGCAATAATGGAATATATGTGAGTGGAAAAGGCCAATAGCATTTTTAGTTTATTTAACTATTTTGACACCAAATAGCTGAAACAACTACCATTTTTCAAAGGGAAAACACACTGGGACGCACAAAACCAGATGTCTGCTGGGGTTACCTGCGGTCGCTGCCCAGGACATCAAAGAAACCGACCTCCGGTGAAGCATCAGGATTATAAGGACCCAGTAACACCTGTTTGTGCAGAGCCACCAGCCGAAGCTTCTCCTCATATGTCGGGTGAAAGGCCTTTCCATCTTTATCTGAGAACAGCAATGTGGGAGCAATGAATTTGCATTCATTTGTTTTTTTACACCCAGCAGTTAAAAGGGGTTGTGAATGCTACAACACAGCCTTGTGTCATCATGGTACACTATGCTAGTAACAACAGTAATAGCATTTAGGCTATTACATTGTCTAGAGTGTTACCTCATAAAATCCTTGTGACTTCAATCCGAGAGAAACGTCCAACTTTCTATGTGAAGGCCTACAGGTTACGCAATTAGACCTCACCCTACTTGACTTCAAACACATGACTACAAATACAAAGCAGAGATTACTCTTGCACAGTGTAGTGGGACCAGATACAAACCTGTTTGCACAATCATCACAAGTGCTTTGCTCTTATATAACCAGTAGCAATGCCAATTTTTTTTAATGAACGTACCTTTTGAGGATGTCTGAAAGGTAAAGGCAAGTGGAGCAACCAAGTGTGGAATACACTATATATCCATATTTCTTATAAATACATTTCTTCTAAGTCCAAAAGACATCAAGGCTGATACACTTGTTTAAACACAATGCTGTTTGGACTTGCTACCTCTTGAATTCAAATGAGATCTTGAAACTCAACATAAATACCATTTTTTTTAAGCAGCACAAAGTATGCAAAGGTTATTACATGTTACTTGTTAGACGCTTTTATCCAAAGCGACTTACATACTGTGGGCAATCCCCACAGGAGCAATTTGGGGTGAAGTGTCTTGCCCAGGGACACAACGACATGCTGACTGCAGTGGGGTTTGAACCTGTGACCCCCTGATCCGAACACCTACAACCCACTACACCACACGCCCCCTATGTTATGTGATAACACTGTTGTTAATGTTGTCTTAATAGTGCTGCCAATAACTCAGACTGCTTGGATGAAAAATTATTCCAGATCTATGCATAGAAAACAAAAACATGCTGTCATGCTACCAACTTGTGCTTTGTATTGGATTTCCTGTTGGAGGTGTAGCAGTAAGGGAGTGGCATGTGCACGGATCAGATGCGTAGGCAGTTAAACTGTAAAACAGTTCCAGTGGTCATTCAACCCTGTGGGAACTGGAAACGTGGCTTTTAGCGGATAAAAATGGGTTGAGCTCAGATCAGACTATGTAATGCAAGGAATAACCAACTTCTAAGGCACAGTGGTGATCTGTCAGCGTCTAACTGATCAGAGAAAGATATGTGTAAGCAGCTGACATGCAGGCTCCCTTTAGCCGCATCAATGACAGGGCAGGGCGTGTTTAAAGCCCACAAACAAATCACTATGAGGCACCATTACGTTAGCATGAACAGCGTCTTACATTACAGCTGATGAAGCAGTCGCTTGACAAGCCAGGTTATTCTTTCCAAAACACAAATAAAAGTACAAAGAAGGTACACAACACAAGGGGGAAATCTTGATGATATTGTTTTGAGGCCACGTATTGACACACTCGGAAGTGGCGTGCTTATTTTTACCCTTTAACAACCAGCTAGCAGCCTGTTAGCTGCGCTGACTGCTGGTTAGCTTTGAAGCTAAAGAAATGTTGCGGCTGACAGCAGCAGCCCCGGTGACAGCTAACAGCTAACGTTAGCAAACGGCTAACTCCACCGAACGGGTGACACGTATTTAAGTCGGTTCTTCCTGCTATCTGCTTCTTTACGTGACATGCGTGAGATTTATAACACATGTAAAATACCTTTGAAGAATTGAAGGCCCATTCCATACAGCTCCAGCAGAGGAAAGCCCCATTTCCTCTCTATGGCTGATCTGGCTGTCTCTCCATCTTCCCCTCCCGCTGCAGCCGGTGTGTCGGTCTCGGGCTCCGCGGCTTCGGGCTCCGGCTCCTGGGCCTGGAGCTGCTCGTCCTCCGGGTCGGGACTGAGGGTGAGGCCATCGATAGACACTTCGAGCCGGCTGGAAGTAGCACTGTCGAGGTCGCCGCTCTGAACCTCTGTCGCCATCATGTAGACTGTCAGCTGAAGCGGCCACGTACCTACTTCCGTTTAGTCTTGGCGGAAGTTCCGGGAGGTTTTTTCTTCCCTCGATGTAAATAATGACGTCGCATTAACAGATTAGATCAATATTTACACAAATTATTTACTTTTTAACAATTGGGAGTGTTATAAATCGGAATTTCCTTTGAATGCTTTTGTTTTTTGTTTTTTATACAATGCATAACGTTTTTTTATTTTTTTTATTCAACGGTTTATTTTATCATGAAAATATGTTATTGTGGAATTTGAAATGACTTTTTATATATAAAATAGATTGCGCTGTTAACAATATTAATATTTTGAAGTTTAAATATGATAGTATTATTTTTTGTCTTGCAGTCCTTTTTATAAAAACATAAACATTTTGGGATCCATTTAATGGGGTAATTAAAGCTGTAAAATAAACATGATGGTCAAACTATGTAACAAAGACACCAAAGCTAAAATACCTCAAATATATCATCAGCATTTCCTGTACTGAAATGTTTTTTTTCAGCAATGTCATATTTCCTGTAATAAACTAACACTTATTGTCAATGTATTAGGCGAGGGACCTTTTCTATCCAGCTTTTATATTAATGAAATGAATTCAAATAATGTTTACGATTGTTTGCTTAGAAGATATGTACACACACTATCATCATACTCATCTTCTGCTTGTGATTGCTATGAGTCTTTACAAAGAATTATAAGTAAAGTAACTATAAAACATCCCTCAAATACACAACTGCCAAACTTATACCAACGGCCCATAAGACAATGACATTTTAACATGTACCTGCAAACTTGTGAGGATAGTTTACCTGTCTGTCTGCAGGTTAAATGTATAGTGGTCAGGTCAAACTGTGGGCTAAACATTGGTCAGACTTGAAAGGTGTGAACATGCTTTTGTTTGTGTCTACAGTAAGCTGCCAACTGGAAATGGCCAGTAGAAAACCCAAAGTGTTTTGACTGTTTGATGTTTTAAAGTGTAGGCTGTTAACTACAATATACCAGCATTATTTTTAATCTATTTTGTCAAAATAAAATGTCATGGGATGCCATTTTAAAAATGCTGACTTAATAAAAACACCAAAATTAAACATGCGTAATAACAGCAATGCTGACTTCACATTCACATTCATGATACTTCTTAACTTACGAGAGCTTCTATTTCATGCTGCCTGTGCATTCTGTGATTTTCTAACATAAAAGCCAATTTGTAAAATGTTCTAAGCCTTTTTTCTACTGGTTAGTAAATATTACATGTGGATTTTTTAAGGAACGCCTCTTTTGAACAGGTCTATTCTTGCAGCTGTAACACTGCAAATGTACAACTGTGACAGTAATAAACGATGATCTTTTATATCTTATTTTGGTCAAAGCAACATCTACAATAAACAAACCTCTCATGATATACAATGAAGTAATAAGATCACATCATCTCTTTAGTCTTAGGAAATTGAACATATTTAAATGTCATCGGTGTAAAGATATCCATGAATGCCCACATAACAAGGCCTAACATGTGCTCAGTGATCTTGTGGTTCCACTCATAGTTTTGCACTCAATTATAAAATAAAGGTCCATCAGGAACTGTAAGGTGCCCTCATGTAAATCTCCATTTGGACAAACAGCTTTTTCTGTTCGGGTGATCAACATCTGGAAACGATCTCAACTGGATCATGACTGGGATCACTTCAACTGAACATTTTGTAAGAGGGATCAGTCAGTATTAGCTCATTTCCTGTTATGTTATGTTTATTTTCGTGTACATTTTTTAAGTTGTGTGTTTTGTGTATGTACCTAATGTAGAGTGTTTGTGTTTTATGCATTTTAAGGGCCCATCCAGGGACATCATAGCAAGTAGCTTAGACTATAAATAATGTGGTGTGTGGAATTGGATAATGCTATACTTTTAGAATCAGAAGTCCTTCATTTGTCCTGCAACAGGGACATTTTAACAACAGCAAGAGTGCAGATTAATAATAAATAGTAGACTAACATATTATATAAAAAAGTGGGAAGACGTTATAATAAAAACACAATAGGTAAAAATAACAAATAACATATAAGTACACCATGGTTTAATAACAGATTTAAATATAAATTGAAAGAAAAGGTAGAGCGTGAATCACAGGATTTTAACAATAAACTTTACATACATCATATTTTCATGCCTGAAGAGCTTTGAAGCCACAGATGACCGATGAAGCATTGCTGTTCATTTCAGCTCTCAGAAAACCTTGTCATAGTCCATTACAAAGATCAGGAACTTCAACAGCCTGATTTTAGCATAGCAATCTGGTCTGTGCACACAGGCAATACCCAATTAGGGCTCAAAGACAAAGCAGTCTGTGAACTGTGAATGTCTTTACCTGAACATCCTACCTGAACAATGCTGTATGTGTCAGAGTACAGAGATCAAAAAGGGATGTTTTGGATTTGAAATGACACGATGGCTGTCAAGTTATTTTCCCACAGAGCTCAACCAATATAACCAGAGAAAACTGTTGGTGTTTTTTTTTAGTCTGTGTTACAGGTCTCTTTGTGCATTGCAAGTTTAACTTCATACAATCTACTCCACAATGACTTAAACCAGTCACAGCTGCATCAAATAAATCATATGATGATGCAGTAAAGATCTGGAACGCATTTTATATGCAATAGTGTCTCCCCACACCCAACGCAATTAACTACGATGCACGAAATTGAATCTATAATTGCCCATATGTAAATAACAAAAAATCCCTCTGACGTAGGACACAAGCTATGCAACCATTATGTATAATACTTATAATTGTTATATCTATTCTGCTATTTCTTGCACTATTATTATTGGTTTTGTTTATTTTATGTCATATTATGTTGCATTGTTGGAAGAGCCAGGGACTTTAGTTTTTCATTGTCATATCCATACTGTACACATGACAATAAAGCCTTATATCTTGAATCTATAATGAAAGCTTTATATATAGCCCCTCCAAAAATAAAGAGCTTTATATTTAAACAGAAATATTATAAGGCAATCAAAATCCAGAATCTAAGATAGAAAACAAGATGACAAGACAACATAATTCATATATACAGGGGGAAAAGGAACATGCCACAAGATAATATAGAGACATAAGAAGAGGTTTACTGTAAACTGCCCACCTGAGATCATTATTGTCCAAATATGTGTAAACAAATTAGTCTGTCTGTGGTTCTACCTGACCTATTGACTTGATCCCTCCTGAATCAATTGAAGTTGAGCCATTCAATAACAAGTGCCCACTCCTGCTTACTTTTTAGGTTTGTGTATTGAGATTAACTTTGTTGCCACTGAAAGGGGGCAGGAAGCATATATTGTATACACCAGTGTGGAGTAGACCTTCAAAGACCTGAATATGTTCTTCAAAAATAACATTTTTTTTACATTTATGGAAAAACAATCACCAAGACAAAGTATAATCCTTGTAGAATAAAGGCCGAGATGCAGAATCATTCAGAATAAACCTAACTACATATTGAATGATATTATTTTTCTTAAAATAAAAACAAAACATGTAATAAAATCTTAATGCTGAGCTAATGTGATATTTGAATCTTGCCTGTTATTATGTAGGCCTACACACACATTTCAAACACATAGCAGGAAACTGTACATAGCGTACAGTCTTCGCAAATTACGCATACATTCAGTTAAATACATGGAAATAAATACTTTTCACAGCATAAAGACTTTGACCGGAGACCATATGATAGAGCAATAATATGTATTCACAGCAACAAACAGCAGTCCGTGTGAGGGTTACCCGTTGAGGAAATAGCAGTTTCCTACTGTCTTTGAAGGCTACATGTCCATTATTACTTCACCCATTCCAAAGCGGATAAATGTTTTCACTGCCAATGTGTATTGAGCATGCAGATTCCATTAAAGCCCTTTTAAGAGACCTGCGGCCGCTCCACCGTCCCAGGTGCGAGGCCTTCACACCTCCGGAGGCCTGCAGACGTCTGAAGTTTGCGCACGGCCGCTGCAGTGCCAGCCGGCCCCGATGGCTGCCCCATTCACACATAGCCAGCGTCACCTTTGATCGCCGGGGGGATTTAACCCCAGCGAGCAGCGCACCTCTCAAACTCAGACAGACGCTGGAAATAATACGAGGAGGAACATGTCTTCAGCTCATGGGAATATGCGAGTCGGGGATCTGTATAATTTCCAGATGTATCACGAGGGACCTTTGCAGACAAACAGCACGGTGAACTCAGGTAGGTGGCAAGGAATAAGAATAAGACTGCATTTTGCAAAAGCTATTAAGTAGCCTACACCACTGGCAACAGTCCATCACGACTTTGCAGCTGCTTCCTGTGCAAGAAACATGTCCTTCGTCATGTTTCTTTGGCTCTTACTTATTTCTGCACGCTTTCTTTCCAGATTATGGAGCTCCAGATGTGACCAACTACTTCAACCCTGCAAACTCTGCGCCAAAGGCAGAGAAATGCGTGGCAATACTGACCCACAGGAGAAAGAGGACTAACTTCACCCAGCAGCAAATCGAGGTGCTGGAGAAAGTTTACTCGGATACTAAATATCCTGACATCTACCTCAGGGAGAGGCTGGAGGCTCTGACCGGGCTTCCTGAGTCCAGAATTCAGGTACATTAAAAGATCAGTCAAAGATGTTGAGAGATTTTTCAATAAGCCATTTGATCAAAAAAAAATTAAAGTACATCAGAAAAGTTATTGTGAATTGTTAAACTGACTTATTTGTTTCATGCACACGTTTCAGGTGTGGTTTCAGAACAGAAGGGCCAAGTCTCGTCGCCAGGTGGGCTCCTCAGGGTCCATGAAGGTCCCCACACCGCCAGCAGCGAGCCCATTCATCCAGGTCCAGAGCAGTATGGGCCCAGAGAAAGGTAAATAATTCAGAAAATCATTGTTTTCTTGTATTGGGTACCTTCCTTAGATTTAGAATTCAATTTTATTCCCATGGCCTTGGAACGTTTTATCAAATATATATTAAAAGGAATAGAAATAAGTCTCAAACGTATCATGTCACCAGGTATAACATCTGAGGCTAATAGATAATAAATAGGAGACAGATTTGATGGACCCACTGATTTTGTTGGTATACCCATAAGAATATCTACATTTCTACAAGCTTCTAATCAATGTAACATGTTTTTTATAAAAAAAATGCATTCTGGAAGCAGTGAATTATGGGATTTCACTCCCAATCTGTTACATAGGAAAATTATTTAAAAAATCTGGAAGCAAGGCATGAATGTGTTCCCTCTGAGAAAAAAAACAAATAAAGATTATTATTATTACATTTGGAAAATGGCCAATATTCTCTTGGTGTTCACTTCTACCCTTGATCGCCATGAAAAATGTTGCTTTTTCTCCCTCCAGTGTGATGAATGGGTAAATGAGCTAAGTAACACTTTAATTGTATTTCAAAGCTAATCGCCCTACTCTTCTTTTCTCTTCCAGTGTATGACAACAATCATGGAGCCGAGGCCCAAAGGATTGGAGGTTTTGGACTGGAGGACAGTTTCAGACCTTCCATGCACCAGAGCACAGATGACCCTCACAGCACCAGCATGCCCGCCAAGCCCAGCAGCTACGAACACACGCCTGTCTCCTGCCTCTACGACAAGGAGGGGTCGAGAGCAAAGCCTGATCAGATGCAGCGGCACGAGCTGAGCGTCAACGTGCTGTGCTGTAACGTCCACCTGTATCCCAAAGAGAACGAGCATCAGCCCAAGATGGAAGCCAACATGCCCGCCAACCAGGGCCCGAAGGTTCTGGTGGAATATGACAACTTCCCCCCCAACAAGACCATCGGCCCAGAGATGAAAGTTGTGATTCCTCCCATTCCCTCGCAGAATAACTTCAGCAGGTCATCGCCGAAGGATAATGGATGCCAAATCCAGTATCCACGCGTGATGTCCACAGGAAATCGGTTCAGCCACTTCTCCCCGATCCACGCCACAGAGGCGCAGGACTTTACCGACTCTGACTCTGACTGGGAAAGCGATGCCTTGAAGTTGGCAGGCTTTGGTGGCTTTATGTGATGTATTATAACAGCTGATATATATATATATATACAGCTACGTGTATAATAAGAGGCAGTATACAATTGTTTGGAATACAGGAAAATGTGTATTTATTGTAAAATAGTAATAGAACTGTTGATTGTAAAGAAAAATAAATGTTGATTGGATATATCTTTTAATAAATACTAACAAATACAAGACTGCTTTGCAATATTATGTTTAATATAAAAAGACGGAAACATTTATATACAATTGCCCTGAGGCACTTTCATATACAACTTTACAAAAACTGAAAAAGGAGATTCTCTAGGAAAAAACTGCTGACTTGAATTTTTCTTGGGCTTACATCAGTGATGCAGGCTTAGTGTAAGGGGAGGGGGGGCAGCAACAGCCATGCCAAATATGGAAATGCCAATATCATTTTAAGGAGTAAAAGGCATCAAAAACCCCCAGAGTTCTCCTTTATAAAAATACCAAAATCTCTTTTCAGTGCACACAAAATTACAAAAGCCATTTCTGATTGCACAGCAGAAATGTAGACGACAGTCCTAATAATCAGAGATATTGTACAATTATCTACAATAAACAATTTTATAAAACATTCTTTAGCCTCCCTGTGCTTAACATCCGCGGAGCAACTGAACACAACACTTACAGGGGGAAACTTTAGAGATAGCAAAATATCGTTTTAATAACCATGAACACCTACTCAAAAATAAATAAATATGGACTATAAAAACAGTAAGAATCAATGTTTGGCACATGGAACCAATAAATAACCGTGGAGAGGTTGTAGATGTGGATTTGTGGCGATAACTAAAGGCTCTTTCATTTGTGTTTAATTGGGTGCACCAACATTCTCCTACAATAAAACGGGTGGGTAAAATACTTACGACATCTTCCATTCAGGAAATAACGTCAGGAGTCTGGGCAGAACTCTGAGCCGTTTCCCAGAAACATCCACATTCAGATTGTAACCTTCTGGTCCAAAACATCCACTAGAGCTATTTATGTTTGCAGTCTTGTATCAGTTCAAGTGAAAGCACCACCTCAAAAGACGATGTTAATGGGCCACACCTCTGCGTGTGGCGGGGGGCGGGCCGCACTCAGACTGCGTTGGTGTTGTTGGCAGAAAATGCGTGCAGGTTGCCCAGCTGACTAAGGCCGCTCTGGATGTGTGCCACGTGGATCTCAACGTTGTTCTGGAAGCAACTAGAAACACAGAGAAGCAAGTGGTTAAAACATGGTGACTCAATTAACTCTTCAATATGGAGTGAAATATAGCCATCGTTATTAGAAATTAAGTTCATAGCTTCAAAATAGATGGGAATCTAAGTAAGGTTTACAACACGCAACATTGTTCTCCTGTAAAATATGACGGTTGTGTGTGTGTGTATCCATGGTTGTTTCCTAATTGAACGATATACTGTATACCCCATGCAGATATTTATGAAATCTGTTATTTTAGTGACATTTCTTTATATTTTCTATTTCTTTGATTATATATTTATATGTAAATGTATCCATATGGTCTTTGACTCCAGTACAACTATGGTATATCATTTGTTAATAAGCAAAAAAGAAAGAAGAAAGTCACAGAAATAAATTGTTATTGGAAATATTCAGTACTTGTGGCTGACTGAATGTTGACTTAATAGTGATTTGAATACTAATAAAAGACCATATTAAGTTACTCATGTTTTTCCGTTGGCACAAATAGAAAATGGTGAGCCATCCCATCAACCGCTGTTTGTTTAGTGTGACTAAGGGAGTGGAGATAAAGACAGTGCAGGTTCTTTTACCTGAGGTTGGAGGGATCAATCGACGCCTTGATGTCATTAAGGGAGTCTGTTAGAGATTTAAACTCAAAAGAATTCAAGTCTCCTCCATCAGCCAGACACTGAAACAAACCAGACAAAAAATTTAAATTAACACGTTATCAAGGCATAGGACTAATATTAAAAAACTGTTCATAAACAACTGTTAAAGAAACTTCACAAAAGACTTTAACGCATGTGTATTTTTAAAATTTCTCTACCATTAATATATGACGTAGAAGTTCCTCCTGCCATAAGTTAGAGAACATGTATTCAGGACTGAAAGCAGACAGTAGCTCAGCGTTTGTATTTCCTCTACCTTGATCTGTAGCAGCAGCGCAGTGAGGCGGGACATGAGCTGTGTGAGGCTGGGGTTGGTCACACTCTGCTGTCCGTCCTTCAGAGAGTTGCTCAGCTGCACCATCTGCTGGGCCTCGTCCTCGCAGCGCCGCCGCAGCTCTGTGGGGTGGTCGGCCGGCACCATGCCCTGATCTGGAGCCAGCTGGACGGACATATTAATGATTCACGTCATAAACTAGGCACTGTTATATCAGAATACCAGGGCATGAAATAGACCCTGGATTTTAACAGCATTTCCATTCCTCTGTTTGTATCACACACATAGAGACATTGACATAAAGTTGACTGAAAGGTCACAATGAATCATTATTTTCTGTACTTGGCTGCAGGGGTTTTACATAATGTTTTTGTTTGTACTTACATCACAGCAGAACTGCTGGACCTCGTGAAGCACCTTGTTGAGATCTTTATTGAGCTGCTCTAGCTCCAGCACTGTGGTTGCATATCGCTTCTGGAAGTCCAGGTCAATAGGCATCGAGTACGACTTCTGAGCACAAAAACACAACCATAGCCAAAGCTAGTTTTGATGTATGCATCCCAAGATAACATTTAACAGCTTTTGGAGCACCTTTTTCTAAAATTTATGATGATGATGATGATGATGATGTACCAGTTTCTCTGCCTCCGTGTTCATTTCTTTCAAGTGCTTGATGTGCTCTTTCTTGATCATGAGGATTTTCGACAGCCTTGTCTAGTCATGGAAAAAGAAACAAAGAATCAGTTCAAACAAAGCGCTACACAGGTTTAGGATATCATATTTTATTGTTCCATTTGACAGGACGTATTTACCACTTGGACGAGGAACTTGACAGGAAATCCCCCCAGAGTATCTCCCTCAGCACCAGGCAGTTTGTTCCTCCACGGTGACAGGTTGATAAGAGGGTCATTATCCTGTTATTACAAAAAAAGAGAATTCATTCATTGATCTTCATAAGCAATCAAGAGGAAGAGATTCAGTAGATTTAGAACTGAACTTGATGAAGTGTACCAAGGCATGAACTGTTTAGCATATCCAAGTTAGATTTTGCATAAATCCATTTACAGCTCTTCAGAATGAATGGGCTGTGTGTTCATATATAAAAAGGTACAGAGCACATGTGAAGCTGCCAGTGTAGGAGGTTGACAGTACCATGAGGACAGGAGTCGTACCGGACGGGTACGTCCCTCTGGGCGGAGTCATGACGTTATGCATGTAGCGAGATATCCGGTGCTTCTGGGCAAAGGCTGAAATGGGCATGGTCTCATTGGGCTCATTGCTCTGGAAAACACAATATCATCTGAGATTTCAAAACACATTCCATAAGTCCAAATATTGCACATCTTTGTATCACGACAGTTTCTTATTTTACAAGGACATTCTAATACAAATAAAGGCTAGCAAACTCAAGTTGTTACTTGTGTAGCCACTTCAGGAACAATATATTGATTTTGCATTTACTCCCTTTGGTCTTTTGTTTGGGCTTTTGGATGAGGACAATACACAGTTGATGAATACAATTATTCTTCTGGCAAAAAATACTTATTTTTAAAGCTCAATCAAGGGGAAATCTGAATTTAAGGTGTGTGAAAAGTAGATCAAAAACACAATTTATTTTGGAAAGGATGATTGCCACAAAGAATAAAAGGGTGGCTCAACACACCATGAAATGGGAAACAATCAGCTCTAGTGAAGAGTGGGATCAAAAGGAATAATAAATGCTTTTGATGATATTGGACTGTCAATCTATTTTTTGTTTTGTTTATGAAATGTTGAAGTGACCAACTGACTGTATAGGAATGTCTCTTTTTGTTATTGTAATGTCCATGTTTTGTGTCTGTAGCCTGTACAATCAATTAAAAATTAAAAACTTCAGGAACAAACAGTCGCTGAGAGGCTGAGGTCGGGCCTGGTTGCCTTTGTCAGAGGCGCTATCAAAAATAAACGCTGCGATCCAAAAATGCATTCAACAAAAAATCTTACTTTAAGAAAAATTATCAACAAATATGTTTTCTGAATAATCACACCTCACACAGGTGAAAAGGTGATTATAATCACTATGAGTGTCGTCCAACTAATCCAACGCTTAATTGATCACAAAACAATAAGTCCTTTTATAAACAAACCCCAATGCCAAAATATTAACATTCAAAAATCCTATTAAATGAAAAGAAATCCCCCCTCTCTGACATGGCTCCTACAACTTGTCTAATGTCAAACACACTTTCAGGAGAGCTGTTGTGTTGAAAGAGGCGGTCCTTACCAACACTTCGTAGTCAGGCACAGTGTGTGTTCCGAGGCCGCTGCGGTCGAAGGTGACGCGGTAGGTGGCGGCACTGGTGTCCACGGCATCAATCTGCCCGGTGAACAACCCATCATGGACGCCTCGGAGTCTCGCTGTGGAGCAGGAGACAAAAACAAATAAACAAATAGGGATTTGTACTAGTAATACTGTTCATATCAGTGTGAGACATCATTACTACTGTAACTACTGTAACAGCTTCTTAATGATCATTACATTGTCCTGAAAATATCTGTTTCTAAAGCATGCAACTTATCCAACTAAATGAACATTGTGAAGAAGTGTAGTGCAGAAAAAAACGTAACTGTTCAACAATAACATCAAATGTACTTTTATTAGGGACTGCATAAAATATATCAAAGTTGTTGTTTGTTTGTTGTTGGTATGAACTGAGAGTATCTTAGTATGTTGAATAAACTAACTACAGAAATACATATTTTCCCATGTAATTTAAATATGCATTATTACATCCAAATTAAAACATATGCACTCCCTACAATATTTTTTTTCTGTTTAATTTGACAAGGTTTTCTTCACATCTGGTAAATACTGTATAAGTGGGTGTGAAGCAGGTTATTAGACTAGAATGATAATCATTTCTTAACAGTTAACCAGAGATGAGTAGCTGTTATAACTGCTGCTGAGGCTGCGTGTGTTCATTAGAGTCCTCCTACCAGTGACTTTGGTTCCTATGATGAGTGGCAGAGGGATTTCATCAGGAAGGTCTTTGCAGTTGGACACGTCAGACAGCTTCCTCTGCTGCAGCAGGCGCATCTTCTGCCTCTTCTGCCTCAGCGCTGTCCGCTCCTCAGAAAAGAATGCTGATGAGCACCTGGGATAACAAAGCATAGCACTGTAACAGGGTGAAAACTGTTTCACATTTTAGACTTGGAAATGTCTGACGTAAATAAAGACAAACGTGATTAGTTCAAATGGGTTACAGAGGCACAGAGCGTAAAGACTGCAGCATACCGTCGAGGCTTCCCCATCAGTCTCCTGATTGTTCCCCACTCAACCCTTGTTAACTTTCTTGTTTTCAAGTTGGGGAAAGACTCTTTGAGGCACAAGCAGAATTCATTGTCACCCTCAAAGAGAGGTCTGGAAAAGGAAATAATACAACAACAACGTTAACAACAAAACTCCTTTTAGAGGAGGTTTACTCCTGACCTCTTAAATCATGTTTGTTGTAAATACAGATTATCAAAAACATTGAAGAGCTCTTAATTGTGTATAATCCAACAAATTAATATCAGTTTTCTGAAGATGAAAAAGAGGCTTTACCTGTCGATATTGGAATAGAACCATTCGTAGATGCACCATTTGTGAGCTTTGGGTAGCTTAAGGAGGTTTCTTAATCTCAGCCCTATTTTCTGGGATGCTTTCTTATCTGGTGTCGCCACATTAGAACATTTCTGCAAAGCAAAACATATAAACAGTCATTCGGTATACAGTATTCGAAAAACATAAAAATACCATATATTTAGCACTTTAAGTGGGGATTGAGTTTTACTTTATACAACAGTCATCTACCTTCTTGTCTTCAAACCATTACTATTTACTAGAACAATAACCTAAATGATGCTGCAGATACAAATGGTACTGCAAGTTAAACTTGAAAAGGCCTAGCCTAAAAACACAGGAAGCTAGGGGATGCTGTTGCCTCCAATTCATTTTCCCTGACAAGCAGCAAATCTTTCACAGGGCCTGGAACACTCACATAGATCATTGTGCTTGTTCTCTTACTGGTGAGCAGTTACTTGAAATGTTGACTTAGACACTGAGGCAATCCACTCTCAGTTGATTTAAATGATCAAAATAAGTGGATTGATTTAATTTTGATCAGAAAATGCCACAATTGACAGACAAGAAAGGATTTGTTCCAGAAGGCTATATATACGCCAGAAAACCTGTTGATGGTGTGTTGTGTTTACCTGTGGCGTGGTGCTGACCCTCTGGCTCCTCCGAGGGGATCTGGATGGGACACGTTGCTGGGGCGACACCTCATCCTCCTCCCGAAACAAACGGCTCCTCTTTGAGCTCCGTGTGGGCTGAAAGACAAATGTGGACAGGAGTGAATATGAATATTGTCAATAAAGCTACATTAATAAGAACATGTTCATACCAGTGGCAAATATAATTATATCTCTACTGTATTTTTTTGCCGTTTACACATTGAAAATGTAGACCATAAATCCAACACTGCAATATAGTTTTCATTCTTAAGCAAAGAGGAGACAACATAATGTACATAGGGTAGTGGCATAAACACATTTTGTTCGTTTTTTCAAGAAAAGAGAGTATCATCAGACATGAGGATGATTAGAATTTGAGTGTTTTGTATATGTTGCATCGAATTAACTTGTGTTTTCGTATTTTTTTTAAAGCTTAGTATTCATATTATCATGTAAAACAGAAGTGTATCTCTTACTGTGTCCATTGTGAGGGAGGAGTTTCGTCCCCTGGTGTTGTGAGCTCTTGGGAAGTTGTTTTTTTCATTCAGAGTGTTGGACAAACTGCCTTCTACAGAAAAACAACAATGCCTTTATTTAAAATAGCAAAGACACCAGAAACAAGACCCCAGCGAGACCTTCTAAATACCAAATGTCGGAATCAAAACTATTCTCATTCTGCAGAAGATATAAAAAGAAGTTTCCACTTAGTCACAGGTCTTAACATATTTTGAAAACAGCAGTGGAAGCCATAATAGGACTACAAAAGACTTGCATTAGCCACAATGTAATGCGGTTGTCACTGAAGCTTTTCCTTATGGGGAGAGTTATACAGAAGTCTAATCCAATGAAGGGTAAACGTTTCCTGAACATTTCTAATAAGTAAACGTATGGTATACCTCAGCTAATACACATGAAGACGAGATCAAATCAGAAACAAAATATTCTTCATTGGCCATGTACAGTAGGTTAAGGCAAAGAAGGAATTTGACTCCAGCTTCCATTAGTTCCCAATATACTTCCACACTTCAAAGAACAAATGTACAGATAAATAAAGATTCGGCCCACATACCTTTTAGACTGACAAGTGCCTCTGCCGAGGAGCCTGGGAAAGAAGACATATTGGGCTACATCAGTAACACACTAATGGCATACGAATAACTCAATAATAATAATTATTATGTGACTAGTTATGTTATTATATGTTATATGTTAGTTATGTATAAATTATACAATAACTAATAATGCTGTAAATATTTTACTGTCAATTTGTAAGCAATAAAGGAAAAAAAGGTGGGTCATATGAATCGGAATAGAGTTCATTGCCAGGTACATTAACAGAATAAGGAAAAGTATTTACACCAAATATACATATACAAAGAAACTAAAAACCTAGTACAGTGAATATATGACAATCCACAGTATTATATTTCAGAGTAGAGGGCTGTTCAGAGAGAGGTAGGGATATCTAAATCTAAACTATTCAGAGAGATGAAAATTAACATGGGTCAAACAGTATTAAAAATGAACCATGTGTTGTATGATGTGCATTAATGAATCATGCTGGATGGTTTTAAGTGTATGTAATAGGCTTACTTAGCTATATTTTAGAAAACGCCTGCAAATAGCTCTGACGTTTATGAGACTGCCCTTTAAACACTGACAGGGGTAGGGTAACTGAAGTTAGATAATAAAGCTAGCGCAGTCAGTTAGGCCCTAATCCCCAATTTGAGCTGTCAACCACGGGCATAACATCAGCTGTACAGATCATATCAACGAAACGAGCCCAACAAGCTAATGATACAATATATTACGACCCGGATATCATATCCACTCACATTAACTACGACTGGAATGACTATTTCAGAATATAATAGCCACATAACTTGGCTAGTCTCTCTTTGCCAGCTTGACCCACAACACGTTAGTTACCATGTAACGTTGCATTAACCAGCGCTAACAAACGTTAAATATAAAAGGTGTCAGGGAAGATTACAACAACTATACCCGTAAAACAGAAAGCTAGTAGCTAGCTTGTGTACTTTGGTTATAAACACGTTATGGTAGTCCTTTTGTTATTGCTAGTTACGATCCAATGCTAGCACGTATTAGCTCACGGCTAAGCTAACGTTATTTGTTTACCCAGTTGAGCTAAAGTAACTTGCTCAACTCCTATATTAGCCATAGTTAGCCTTTCATGCTAGCAAGCGTTAGCTGACTTGAACAGACCGGTATCTCCTTACGTCTAAAAAATTACTTTGTGAACTCTACCCAAAACTATATATATTCATTACATGGACAGCGCTGGCAGTTTATCACCAAAGATTTATTTTTATCATAATGGGGCCGCTGCGTGTTTACAACGCAAAACTCCTTGAATTTGTGTTGTTACTCACTCTCGTCTAACAGCTGGTCCATCTCCGCCATCTTGAATTAGCCGCGCCGCTTTTTCAAAGACCTTGTCAAAATGCATTCTGGGTCGGGACGCTATCAGGAGGGCGATTTGAGAAACTAAAATCCAATTATTTATCAAACTGATGGGTGGTGAATCTATTTATGTTATATAAGCATTCTCATAATCATTTTAAACTTAATTTAAAGGTAATTTACTGCACAAAATGTTCCTGGAAATGCCTGGAAAACCTGTTCATAAACTGGAGTCACAGTCGGTATCCCTCCATTGTTTCATCCAGCACTTCAGTAACTAGCATATATTAATGAGTTTTTCTTACATTTCATCCAACTTTGGTAAAGGTTTTTTTTTGTATCGTTTCCTCCATGTGGAAGTCTGTGTTTTTACCTGGAGTTAAACACAGCAGCAGAAACCAAAACCAAGTATTAAATGCCACTTCCATAACCTATTGAACGTTTTGTTAACACTTGTTCTGTGTATACAGGCCAAAGAATTTGAAAGGTTAAAAGTACTACGAATCCAGCCTAAAGTCAAACTCCCATCCTGCAGAAGTACCTCTAGCTTAGAGAACTCATCAGCATCTGAACCCGCCCACAGGTTGATAGTAACTGCAATAAATCAATCTCATAAATTAGAAAACTATTTGAAATAAATTATATCATCCGATATTATATCCCAAAAGGAGTAGAAGAAAAATAATGATTCACACAGGCATGAAATGTATTCTCAACAATTTATTGTATTTCAGGTAAGCAAGAAACGCACTAAGATCAAGTGTACCACATACCATGACAGTCATTTCTTTTTCAGAATACTTTGCAGAATGCTAACCACATTGTTTATTTTGCCCCCCATTTTCTGCAAGGAAGACAGCTTGTTAGACAAACAACAGAACAAATATATACACAACAAACATTGTACAGTGTATTTGAACCAAACAGTCTAAAAAATGTTCATTTGAGGGGTTGTGTACGTTTGCAGATTGATTGTTAAAAACTCTTAACTCCCTCCCTAAATTTGCAGTACTAAATTTTATTAGGTTTAATAAAGAAAGAAGAAAGATCCTTTCCAAAATTCCAAGAAGACCATGTGAAACTGAAAACTACAAATATTTTCTATTGTTCATTCCTAAACCTCTCTGCGAACTAGGCACCGTGCTTCAACCACCAGATTGAGCTTTGATTTGTATGTCTGTCTTATAAGCAACTCTGACGTAGGTATTGAACTACCTAAGGTGTTATGAAGAACGCTGCAAGCTAGTTAACCTGATGAGAAAGCAATAAAGTGACTAGAGATTTCCATTGACCATTGTAAAAATGTGGTATAGCATCCCTCCTTTGCCATGAAGCCCAGGCATTTGACAGCAACAGTGGTCTCAGTTTTCAATGAAAAGGGTTTGAACACAGACCCCCACCCCCTCACCACAGGGACGTCTGGTAGTTAAACTTGATCTTCAGGAGATACTTCATGTTGACCTGTGACACATCATACACAATGTATCTGAAGGAACAGCAGTTAAGGACAACAGGAACTATCGAGATAACATAACCAACACTGCAAAACAAAAAGGGACATTTTACCCAAATGCCACATATGAAATGTTGACAAATAAATGATCCAAAGTTAGATACCAAGAGCTGACAGTCCTATAAAGTAACGACATGTTGTGAGGGTATTTGTTTAGGACAGGTCGACCACCAACGTTTTCTTGTCCTAAACTCGACATTCATTGATCAATGATTTAGGTCTCAGTTTATGACAGAATACTTCTTTTCATAAAGAATGAAAATCCATTAGTGCCTCAGAGTGATCGGGTCATTCTGAGTAATATCACAGAGCTTCCCATATTTAAACAGACATCCTTCATTAAAGTTATTCTTAAATTAGAATGAAAACATTGGACTTAATTCACATCCAATGTCATGTTGTAAGAACTTGGCAATAAAGTAAAATTAAAAGTTTAGAAGTGACAGTTCATCGTTTAAAAATAGTCATTAGACATAACCTAAGTCGGTCAATTCAATTTCTAGAACAGCGTGTACTGACTAAGTCTCTGACTTTTCTATAAGCTATCAAATAACTAATCATACACGAAAGCATGAAATTTTTTTCGTCATTTGAGAGCAAAATGAGTATTAAATTCATAAACCAGGTTTTAGGTATTAAAGGATACTCGTTGTACAGGAGACTTGTGTCATCAATGTTCGTGTTGCTTCCTTTTCCCAGAGGCACTTGCACCCCGTCCAAAGTGACAGATGCACTTGGATCAGGAGCAGTTCTACCCACACCTGCAAGAAAAAAAAATTCATGAATGAAAGTCTGAAGCAGAATACAAACCAAACTTGTGTCATCTACAAAAGGCAAATTAATTGCCAAATGTCCTGCAATAAAAATGGCATTGTATAAACACATATTTATGTAAACCAGCTAAATAACACATTAGCAGGAAAACACATCTATGCCCAAACATTACTGAAAACAGCACAATTATTAGTGACCCTTACCTTTAACACTGTGCTTGCCCTTGGGTACTTTTGTAATGTGGGACGCCTTCTTCAATTCATGCCTGCATTAAAAAAAAAAACATGTTCATTCATATTATCCTCACAGGTTTGTTAAAGAAAGGGTTGATATTCATGTTTTATTTAAATAACTCTGACTTACATGTTGCCCAGAGCAACCTCAGCCAGCAGTAGGAGACCGACGGGGTCTGACTGGGAGGTGTGACAGTAGTTTGCACTCTTTGACACCATGTCGGCAAAGTACACACCTTTACCGAACATGTAACCAGTCTGAAGAAGAAAAAAAAGAAAATGACAATGTAACACATGACTGAACAGAAGGAAAAAAAAAACATCAAGACAGAATATTTGAAAGTTAGGTTGGCAATTTAGAAAAACAATCAAATATCGCTGAGATGTTATTGACCAAATAGATTGTTATCGATATTACAACTAATTTGTAGGGTTGACTATTGGTGCTTTCACAAAAAATACATAATGAGATTTCTGATTAATAATCATTAGTAATGTGGATAATATAATTAAATTGGCAAATAACAGGTAGAAAAGTCTGATAAATAAAAAAATTACATCACTTTACACAAAAACAGCCTTTAAAAAAAAGGAAAAGACACCCTATTGCAATCTAAAAAAAGAACATGATATCTAGTCCTATAACACCATATAGTTATAATATTGACAGATAGCCCTATTTTTCAGTTATTTATTGCATAAAAAACCAATGGAAGAGCAGCTTTCGGTTCCATGCTATCAATAACTCACCACTGGAGCCTCTGGAGGGGCAATGCGAAGACCCTGAGACATGATACCAGCGTAGTTGGTTTTGCGAGAACCGTGCCACAGCAGCTGGCGATTGTTTAGCTCCTCGAAGGGACGGTACCGTTGGCGCTCTCCCTCTCGAACTATTTTAAAGATCTAACAGAAGGGGAAAGTCAGTGAACACAATGAGATGGCAACACTTGCTGGACTACAAAGTTACAGTTCATAGGTGAATTGAAATAAAGGCTGTGACGAATGAGTAATAGTTAAACTTACCTCTTCCACTTCCAGCGTGTAAGTGTTGTGTGTAGCAGCGTGGGTGTTCTTAACATATTGCGTAATGATCTCAGCCTCAGTTGTAGACTTGTCAACAACCTGTCGAATAACAAATATGGAGCAACTGTTATCTTCCCATTCATAATCTCTTCACTCAAAAACGTTATTATTAGAAACAATTTGGGAATAAATCCTATATCTTGCACAATGTCCCCAACTGTGAAAGAGTTAAACTGCTGCTCACCTCAATCTTGGTTTTGAGTTTCTCGTAGTTGATGTCGATGGGATCGCTCTCATCGTCCTGGGCCCCCCCTCTCAGCAGGCTGTATGCCACTTCAATGTCCAACAGGTTGTCCAACATCTGAACTTTATTCTGAAAAGTGAGGCATGCAGATGTTGTTCAATCCATTTATCAAGCAGGAGAGAATCAAACCGTGGGATGCTGTTTTCGTTGTTCTCACTTGAATGTAGTCCAGGCTGTTGAGCAGCGGGGGTTTCTTCATCCCGAAGTCGTGAGGTATCAGGGTGTAGAAGCGATTGGAGAGATCCAGGATGTGGGCCTCAGACAAACTTTCTGTCACAGCCTATGACAAACAAAATGTTATTTTTATTTGTTATATTGTCCAATAAATTAATACAAATATGTATGGTCAGGGGCTAAAATATATCTGGTCCAACCACTGGCACAAAGCACTATTTGTAGTAATGTCACAAATCCATCGAGTAGTTGGTTGCTGACCTGCTGTACATCAGTGAGGAGGGAATAGGCACTCTGGATCTGCCTCTTACTCAGTTTTCCTAGGGGCATTTTTTGGAGGTCAATCTGAAGATGGGAAGGGAGAGAAAAAGGAATTGTTAGTAGACATGTACAGGGTTCCTACACTTTTCCACCAATGATTTTCAATGACTTTTCCATGACTTCTCCATGACCTTTACCTAATTTTCCATGACCAAAAAAATGACTGAATGGTTTATTTTAACATGGAACAGGAAAATAAGGTCTGCATATGAAACATGTTGTGCCTACCTAAACAGTTAAATGCCATTTTACTTTTCATTACTATACGATACAGTATTTATTATCATTAAAGTATTACTATTTCTGCGATTAGCTCAAATATAAATTATATTTGATGCAACTTTAGTTACATTTCCATGACTTTTCCAAAACTTTGGGAAAAATATTGTTTTCCATAACTTTTCCAGGGCCTGGAATTAGCATTTTGAATTTCCATGACTTTTCCAGGTTTTTAATGACCGTAAGAACCCTGCATGTAAGGTATGGTGTTAAAGGAAATGTTTATTTTTTTCCTTTAGTTATTTGTCTGTATTTTTACACGGGTTGCATATAAAAAGATATAATGCACAACGTTTTTTCTTTAAAACAACAAACAAACAATGCTGTATTCAGATAGAGTTGTAGAATTTTCTTTCAAAATGTCATTTATTCTCCTGGGAATAAAACAGTTATTAAGAACAGAGGAAAACTATATCCGTCTAATGGTTTCCTAGCATGAACACAGCCACAAACTAATTTAAAAGTCTACCTCAAACTCCACCATGGCCTTCTTCATGCTCTCTACATCAAAGATCATCTTGATCAGCTCCTGGATGGGTTTGGCCAGCTTGGACTTGGTGCCGGCGCTGGCTGTCAGCTTCTTCACCGCTTCTTCATCCTGTCAAGAAACACATCCACAATCCAGTCATATACAGAAGGAAACAAACAGTCTGAGTTCTGGTTTTGAGTGTGTTACAGTCTGTACCTGTCCATAGTCAATCTCCAGTGGGTAGAACTTATTGGGATATTTGGTGAAGTTGGAGGTGCTCCATGTGTTGCCCGTCTTCTCTTTGTAGACACACAGGAAGTTGTCCATGGCAGAGTTTTTGTCGTGAAACTTGTCTAGCTTGTTGCCTCCGATAGTGGTACCCACTCTGCCCCATGACCTGAACACCCAGTACCTGCACATAGAGGGAAGAGATACTGTAGTTGAGTTTGGATAATCATTTTAAACATTGTAGCAATAGTGTTGGAAAGGAGAACAAACACTGTTCCTCTGCAGTAGAAAGATAAAACGGGTCTAATCCCTCAATCTCTGACCACTAACCGTTTCTGTACATCATCCTCTAGCAGCTGCAATTTGTAGTAGGAGTTAGTTCCTCTGACAATGTCCACAAGACCCAGCGTAGCGCTGTACATCTTCCCGCTCTGCTCCAGGACATGAGCGCTGTTCTCCAGCCCTAAAAATAAATAAAGTCAAGGTCAGAAGACAAAGAAATTGGATGGAGTAATAATGTTTTGAATGCAGGGCGCTCATGACTACCTGAATCTGGATCCACAGCAGCTCCTCCTTTCACCGTCAGTTTCATCTTCTTGGTTTTGCTACTGCCTGTAATCACGTAGATGCATGTTTTTCATCAATAATCTTAGACCAAAGAGTCCAGTGCTATAACCAGGGTTGGGAGTTACTTAAAAAATGTAATCAGTAACATATTCTGAGTATCATATTCTAAATGTAAATTAAATGTAATTACTTTTGGATTTCCTTAATATCGAATGTGATGCATATACCGGTAAATACAAGAGAAAAATATATCAATAAGAGGTTATTTACCGTAATTTTCGGACTATAAGGCGCACCTGAATATAAGCCGCAGCAGCGGCATACCACTCTCGGTTCCACTTTTACTTTTGCGCGCTACCTGTCTCACTCTTTTCCGGCCTCCAGCTTTTCCTGCTGGAACCCGCCGCTTAAAGGTGGGGGTCCGCGGACCGGCCATAGAGCCCATAGAGTTAAAGGTGTTGGCCGTTAGCTGTAAAAATCCATAGATTAGCCGCACCGTTATATAAACCGCAGCGTCGAAAAATAGGGAAAAAGGCGCGGCTTCTGATAAAACTCAATCAGCAAAAGTTCGGCTGTACACAGACTAGGAGCCGATTATAAAATATTAACATAGTCACAATTTATACTTATGTATACACTAGTGTTGTCTCCATTCCTAACTTTTGTTGAAGAGAGGCCACAACCTTGTGTTTTGGTTTACAACTAATAGGTCCGATCATGGGTTTCCATGTAGTTGCTAAGTAACGGTAAGAAAACTAATTTTTATCCCGCCAGTTCACTCCCTTTTGCCAGTAATAAATTTCACCGGGTTTGTTCAAAAAAAAAAAAAAGTTTCCGCTTATAAATGAAATTTGTGTCGACGCATAATTTTCACAACTGGGAATACGTGTTTAACATGCTTCCCAATTCTCGTATACTATGTTTCTGAACCACGACCACCGAAAATATAGGTGGACCCGGATCCTCATGTACTCCAAACTGGTGTCAAAGTCGACGACTTGTAACACACGTAGAACCTGACGAAGGACGAGGGAGTCCTGTTTGTTTTAGGTGTTGTATAGAGTTCTCCGGTGTCTATGAGGGTTTCTCTGACGTCGCCTACTTTTTTACTTGTAATATAAGTCCCTCCACTGTAGAGACTGCCCACCTTTTTATCTACTCGCAGCATTAATATCTTCACAAAAAGGACAACCTGTAGACGAGTCGTCCTGACTGCTTATAACCCCTTCTTCTTCACTTTCGTTATCTAAACTTTGCATAAATAAATCCGTTGGTCCGTCTTCCTTTTGTTGGCATAAAGGACAAATTTAACAATTAGTTAACGTCAAGATTTCATCTTCATCTGCGGAGGGATTCTTGAGGCTCCGGGAATTGTTGTAGTCAGCACCTAAGAGGTATTGTCGCGCGCTAACTAAGTAAAACGGAACGAAATGTCGTGTAAAGTCCTATTGAAACCTTATAACTTAGACGTGAGCTCACTTAAGTGCGAGCGGGCGATGACAGGTTAAACGCGCGGGGTCGAAAGAGTCACGGGAAGTTTTGATTGGGCTCGAGACGACTTTGTTCCACTTTCCGAAGGACTCTTGTACAACGTCCGATGTGGTTGAGGCGACCACCCGAAGGACTAATCGTCTTAGGATATTCCTTCCCCCCTCCTTCCTTACTAATGTTTCCCTTTCAAATTTTTCTCGAAAAATAGTGACGTCGCCACATAAAAATTCCACCCGTCCCATATTGGCGCGTGAAAAGAATTCAGGAGGACGAAAAGGGGTCCTATACACAGAAATTAATTTCCTATATTTTTCTCTCTTGTGTCCTTATATTACCGTACATGCCGCTTCTTCGAGATTTGTAGTTAGAATAAATGATAACACCAAGCTAATATAGGAGTTTTGTCCACCTCCGGCTTTGGATGCTCAACAATAGAAAAATTAAGAGACGTGGAGGATTTGTACAGAGTAAGAAGACCGAAAATATTTTTGTTAATAAAAGGAGACGGGAGTATATTTAAAAAAATTTGAACAAAAAATGTCCTATAATATTTGTTAGGAAAAACCGAATAGGAAGTTAGGAATTAAGGTTCGTAGCAAAAACAACAATTACGTAGATCAAGAGGATGGACGGCCGACATCGTAGGGCATCCTCCTCTTTTCACCCAGTCGTACATAACTAACGTCATGGTCTGTGTAGGATCATAAGTAGTTAACTAACATGCCGCAGTTTCCTGACGTAGACGATCTCAGACTGCGGATCCCTTTATTATAATATTTTGTTATACTCCGAACTTTTTTTGACGTAATAAAGAAAAATCCTTTGAACTAAATGGGTTTCTACCTATCAATTTCACGAAATCACCTCGTCTGTGTAACATCCGGGAAAGTCAAATCCCGACGGAGCTTAATACCCGTTTTTAGTATTTTAAGGCTTAATTAATAACCCACAAGTTAATTAACTATAGGCTATAATTTGTTGCTAATAGTCGTAAATGGCATAAAAGGC